AAAAAAAAAAAAAAAAACAGAGATTTTACAAAACAACCCAGAATCCTAGTTTCAAAAACCAGCAAAATGAAACAAAAACACAAACCAGGAGCTCTGTGTCCTGCATGGCAGGGCTTTGCATAGTGTGCCCCTTCAGGCCGCCAGCCTCCCCCACAGCACACTCACTGTGTTACCTGTTGGGGCCCCTCCTCCCTTGAAGCCTGGAGCTGTGCTATCCACCAAGGTGGCCACTAGCCACATGTGGCTCCTGAGCACTGGAAATGTGACTAGTCTGAATTGAGACAAACTTAAGCATAAAATGTCCATTGGATTTTGAAGACTTAGTTCAAAGAATGTAAAATATCTCACTAATAATTTTTAAAGTGTTGATTACATGTTGAAATGATTTTATTTTTTATATATTGGGGTAAATAAAATGTACTAAAATGCTATATATTATTTACAATTATATTAATTAAAATTAATCTTACATGTTTCTTTTTACTGTTTAAAAATGTGGGCCAGGCCTGGTGACTCACCCCTTTAATCCCAGCTCTGTGGGAGGCCAAGGCAGGCAGGCAGATCGCTTGAGTCCAGGAGTTTAAGACCAGCCTGGGCAACGTGGTGAAACCTCGTTTCTATGAAACATACGAAAATTAGCCAGGCATGGTAGCACATGCCTGTTGTAGTCCCAGCTACTTGGGAAGCTGAGGTGGGAGGATCGCTTGAGCCTGGGAGGTGATGGCTGCAGTGAGCTGTGGTTGCACTACTGTACTCCAGCCTGGGCAACAGAGCAAGACCCTGTCTCATAAAAAAGGTGGATACTAGGAAATATAAATGTGTCCATGTGGCTCACATTATATTTCTCTTGGTCAGCTTGGGTCTAGTGCCTAATGGACAAATGAGGACTCAGCAAGAGGGGCTAGCAGAGCCAGACATGAGGGAGGGTGAAGAAGGCCATTGTAACATGATGGTTAAAGCTGTGAACTTTGGAGTTAGTGCTGAGAGTTCAAGGTTCATTTCTGCTCCTTACCTGCTGTCCCACTTTAATCTCTTTGAACTTTCAGCATGTGGCACTCATTGACAGGTGAAATGATAGCTGCCACTCATTGACAGGTGACATCATCTTGTCCAGCTCTGGAGCTGGGATTTGATTCTCAGGGAACTGACCAGGGTCTGATGAGTTTTAGGCTGAGTTTTAGGCTGCAGAGTGATACATCCAGATGGAAAGATCCCTCTAGACCGGGGCAAGGAAACCAGAGCAAGGACTGTGCAGAAATTAACATTGGAAGTGGGCCTATGTCTGTGTGCTTGCAGAGGAGTGGCCACATCCAAGGCACATAAAGAAATGAAAGCCATAGGATGGGCAGGGCTGGGAGGAAAAAAAAAAGGAAGCTGTAGGATGTGGTGATGGATGGGATGTGGCAGGGGAGAGGGTTGGAGAAGGTATCACAGGGGGTTCTGGCTCGGCTGCTGGGTGGAGGTGGGGAGGTTTATCCAGAGAGGGAGAGACTAGAGATTCTGCCAGGCTAGGGACCAGGCTAGCCTTTCCCACTTTTGTACTCCTCAGGCTGGGCACAATTCTCAGCATGCAAGTGCTCAGCCAATATTGCCAATTGGCTGGAAGGCTAAGAGCACCACCTTTGAGACTGCAGTCTTGGGTTTGCTCCTGGTTCTCCATCTACTAGCTGTGTCATCTCAAGCATACTACTTCACCTCTCTGGACATCAGTCTCCTCATCTGTAAAATGGGAATAATGACAAGTGTAGCCCCTTGTTGGTTGTTCCAAGGACTGAGTGGGTTTATCTATGGGAGCACACAGCATAGTGGGTGCTCAGTAGCTGTTAGTCCCAGACTCCACACTCGAGCCTGACTCCTGACACACACAGGGCCTTGTCTACCAAGGCCCTCACCTCCTTAAAGGAAGAGAAGGCCAAAGAGTTCCACTAAGGAAGCAAATTCCTCAATATTATCCCTTCCCCCGAGGCTAAGTGGGAGGATGGAGGTTAGACTGCAAGAAGAGCTTTCTCTGTTTTTTTTTTTTTTT